GTACAATTGGTACGGATAAAACAATTTAATATTTAGGAGCGTGGAATGCATTCAGCACGTTTTAAGTGACAAACATGTGCATTGACAAAAAACGTCAAAGTCCTATGGAAGAGAAGTTGCCATTAGTTCCCAGTAACCTAATTTTGTGTCGTGCCTAGAACAAATTAATATACAATGTATAAACAAATTTCTCGGTCAGAAACGCGTGGTACAACAAGAAAATCTACGTTAAGTTTTGATTAGTGTATACGCATTGCGTTTCATTTGGGTTACTTCAGTGTGCTATCACAGTTGCGATAATGTGCACGATGCAATTTTCTCGGTAATCAGATGTTTCCATTACATTATTCTCCACAATGTGCACGTATAATTACGTGGTCATGCAATGCTTGATGAGTACTTCTATGTCGGAGCAAGCACGTTTTGTGGTGAATGTTAATTTCATAGTACAATAAACAATTAATCTTTGAATGAATCGTCGATCAGTTTCTGTGTTCAATAATCCAGCCGTTTCAATTACGAACATCACAATTAATCGAAGTATCAAATCTTAATAAATCATAAAATACGATTATATGTATTTTTAGAAGTTGTCTAAACCGCTTTCCGACTTATCCGAAGTAACTGATCGATTAATCAGATGGAAATTGATCCGGTAGGAATAGAAAATCACGAGATGCAAAAACGTGGAATGGACACTTTGCAAAGGAGAACCGACTTCCGTTTTCCTCTTTTCTTTGGTTCAATATCAGTAGCAGGGGTTTCGTCGTTGCTGGCATCGGCAGTATTAATAAATTATTCCGCGTTCCATGACCTCATCGCGCCGTTTCGTCACTTCCGGTTTTACTCCCTACCCACGCGTGTGTTTCGCATTAACACTTTCAGGAAAACCTTAAGTAGACGAGAAACGAGGAAAGTTCGAAGTAGTGTTCCATAATATTGACCAACGATTCAGAAAAACTAGGATCAACCTGATCAATTCATTAAAAAAATCTCCATTTTATATACAATAGTACATACTTAGAGTACAGTGCATTCTTAAAAGTGCAACGCATGTAACTTATTGTCAATTTCGAATGTTTATAACTCTTGCTGTCTCTGGTCCATTTACTCCAAAATGGGGGAGAAAAAAAAAGAATTTAGTCACATCTTCACGATTAAGCAAGTACGGTGTAAATGCCTGAAAAGTATTTTTCAGCTTCGATTTTAATATACGTTAGATACTAACAACGTCAGAAAGCATGTATATATAATAATAGTGCTATTTGAATATTTAGTTATGGCACCTTTTTAAAACTCCGTAATTGATGTACAAATAATTTGGATAAATATTATTAAAAATGGTTTAACATGTAGTTAGGTAATACCTTAAATTAGGTTACAGTTATATGAATGCGTATTTTGCTTCGAAATCATTCGCCTATTCCTGATTAAACTCTAAAATAATGGTTGTTAAATTACACCATAATACTACAATGTTATAGTATTATTTAATATAGCCTTTAGATCTTTAAAGTCCCTCAAACATTATTACTTACTTAGAAGGTAAATAAAGGGTCTCGATGGACGTTTAATTGAGGAGGCTCTCGTTAAAGTACTAACGACGTTAAGATTTTTCAATCTGAAGCACGAACGCTAATTAGTACTGGCTGGAGTCGCCAGTCCTCTTGAAGCATCTCGCTTCGCATCACCCTTCGCTCCAAGGGGGATCTCGATTGGCACTCTCTTAATCGAAGTACTCCTTCCCAACGCTAATTACATCTTCATTTTCTTTTTCTTTCACCAACGAGTGTCAACTACCGCGCCCTGAATTCAGTTAAAGAGTTGCCTATGAGATAATTTAATATTCTATTCTTTTCCGGCATTTGGGAAGAGTATTAAAATCGAATTAATTCATTTTATTTATTCGCTTTTTTTAAACAATGTACAGGAATAATAATGACTCACTTATTGGCAATTACTCTATTGGACGACCTTCGTTTATCTTTTAAAAGTATCTAAAATACGGGAAAACTGGAAACGTAAAATGACGTTATCTTACGTAAATGAAAAATGTGAGTTTTAATGATATTTTGATGCAAGCAATCATTTCACCGCAAAAGCAATGTGGAAAATTGTGGAACAAACCATGAATACTGCAGTTTGCATGAAAAAAATATGTAATTGTTATATCTTTACTTATGGTCGGGAGTAGGAACGGAAAGCAAAATGATAACCCTCAAATTTATAGATACATCTTTTAGCTATGAATGAAGACGATGATGAACTCCCCCCAAGTAATAATTTAAATAATTAATGACGTAGCATAATTAATTTCAATCTGATCTCACGAGTGAGGGTAGAAATTCGAAACGAAACAGTTTAAAAACTTGTATTTTGTAGTGCAGGTTCAATAATGTTTCAAACTCTTTTCCTAATCAAAATACTCTTTGCACCGATAGATTTATTCAATTTATTAGCATTCTCACAAATTCCAAGATGCCCTTAACCCCTGAATCACCCTAATTAGCAAAATTGCTAATGAAGTGTTATTCCTTAAATAATATTTGCGAGAGTAGACACGTTATAACTAAATCAAATGTCCATATTCTCCCCGTGCATTTAATGGCAATTTGCATGTGAAAATCAGTCGCCTAGGCAACAGTTCGAAGCGACTTTGCACATTGTCATTTTAAACCGCAGTTCTTTCTATACTCCAATACTTCCTTCACTAAGAAAGAGACTGAAAGTGCTAAACTGACTCGTTTTAACAATTGCGCGTTACGTGCTCAGGTTAATAATTATACGACTGGTTTAAACCTGTTAGTCACGACCTACAACATGGTAACCGAGGTTTCACGGGGAAGCACTTCCCGTTTAGAACCTAACCTCACTTTTTAGGAAGGGTCGGTAGAGAAGCAGACGGGCGGGTAATACTTCCGGGAGAGAGACATCGTTATCTTCACTTCCACGAGACAGATGACTATTCACCCTCGGAGCACGTATCCTGTCTCGAGTACGACATCCTGCTTCTGTTTTGAGAACCGTGGTACCGGTTCGCCAACTCCAGGGTGCGCTTCGTCGAGCAATTACCCTGTTCCCTACATATCCGCAGGGGTGGATCCTTACGGGTTTACACAGAGATTAAATATCCACTTATCGCGCCACCCAGGAAATATATTCTTGTATCCGGACACCCTATGAACACTTCTTTTATGTCTCTTGACGATCAACCGACTTCGCATTTACAAGACACTTTATGTCAAAAAAACCGAGACACCTAAAAATAAAAATCCTGCAAATCAAGGACTAACATATACCGTGTGGGATAATGTAAAGAGATAGCGATTCAATTTTCGTTTAGAAAACTATCTGTTATTACAAAAATATGGTCTTAGTCTCCTTTTGTTATGCCAAGTATGTGGCTATCAGGGAGAATATACTTGCATCGATAACAAATTAATTCGGGGTTTCGTAAAATTACTCTAATTTCTTCCCACTCTATGAAATGATATAATTAGACCATCTGCACGTTGCATACGTGAGCAATTAGCTTGGCGACTAATTGCATGCATTTTTAATTGCATCTAACGAGAAGTTAACGAGAAAAACGTTTCCCTCGTTATTAGTCAGCCTTGAAACTCCCGTAATTTAAGCGTTAATACCGAATGTTCCCTTCACAATGTTACCGAGCGGCGTAAATATAATTACAAATGCATTGTCTCTCGTTTTCTCGTGTTTTATGGACACTCTTCACAGTTATCTCCAGCTGAAGAACAATCGTCGAAATGTTGGGAGGTCGAGATGAAACGCTCATCAAAACAATATGCAAGGACTTGTATGCAAAATTCTAGGCCAAGAGGTCCAAGGATTTATTTTACAGATCCACATCGTATTGTTAATTCCGTAAAAGAATTTTGCAACCTTGTAAGCAATCTTTATATATATTGAGATGTTTCTTTCAACAGCAGTGCAAACGCATTGTAATGAAATATTACGTATTAAAACACATATCGTTCAGGGAATTTAAAGGGTTTCGGTTATAAAAAAATACTTGTAATTGTCCAAATATAATGTCACAGTCTCCTTTCATTGCGTTAAACAATGTATGCGGTTATCAGATATTTATAACTTGTTTTTTATTCGCTGAAAGTTTGGAAAAAGGATGCACAATTTAAATGACTACCCTCTAATAAGAAAACATCGAATACAGATTATGCAAAAGCATGGATATAAAAATGATACTGTAAAGTATGCAATGTAAATTATAAAAAAAGTCAATGCCTAGCCGCCACGCGCGTCTAAATCGAAACTTCTAAATTAATAACAATTGTCAGATATTATTAACGCAGATAATCACTACGTCAGTGTTTCGCGCCTATACATGTATTTGGCCCGAAAACTGTACCGAGTTTCCTAAATTTATTCTAAATTATTCTTTCCCGAAATGCAATTACGCTTTAGATACTGGTTGTTTTCGGCATAATTATTTTTATGTGTTAATTGTGTTATTTGTATTGTAATTTAAATGTGAATAATTAACCGAGAGAATAACGCAATATAAACCCTAAGGAAAACGAACCCTACTAAAATACAACGACGATTATAAATTGGAATTAACTGTAAAAAAAGTGTCGCCGTGCCTAAAGTTTCACATAAAAAATACGAAACTGGTAACTCGGGGCTTAACAAATATTAATTAAATGCTCCCCTTTTGAGGGAAATCGGAGCACCCCGTTTCGAAGCAGTTCCCAGGCTGGGGGGTGCATAGGGTGCCGAAGCAGCCTTTTGTTGGAAACAACTGGTGGAAAGAGGGGGCGAGCACGTGCGCTCGTGAACGTTGTCGAGAACATTTGGTCGCACGACGGAGGCCGCACGGACACACGCGTGCCTGACCCCACCGGGGCCCCATACTCTTTCATTTAGACGACCCCAAGCCCCACGCCGCGCTCGGCCGCCGGCAAGGGGCAAGCGGTACGGCCGCTGCGTCATTGGGCGTCATTCAAGATTCGTTCGCGTCTCCGGGAACAAGTCTCGCAAGAGCGAGCCTCGCGGCTGCTGCCTCTCCGTGCACCGGAGCCGTTGTGACGCGTCTTCTCGGCGGGCTCGTCGCCCTACCGCCGACGAACGCCGAAGATCGCCGAAGGCGCCCGAAAGATCGCCGAAGACGCCCGAGCGCGGTGAAACTGTACGAGAACCGTCAGTTCGGGTTCAATACACATCCACGTGATAGAGTAACGCTAAATAATCGCTACGAAGCATAATAAGGAAAGAAAGGAGAAAATTAGTATCCTTAAGTGTGTCGAAATTATCGAAGACGTCCAGAAATCATCGGAACGATGTGTAGAAGATCACGATAAGTGCCGGCTCGTTCGGGATTGGATTCGTAGAAATGGATTGGATAATATAGAAATTGGTAATAAATGGTGATACGACGGAGGAGTCATCGGGTACAGGAAATAATTAGATTAAGGGAGGGAGGAGATTTCCGAAAACAGCCGAACGATTAGCATCGCGGAGTAAACAGGGACTCCATTGCGCCGAGCTGAGCCGAGGATCGGCGAAGATGGCCGAAGTGCGCGCTCGGCTGACGCGCAGGTGCTTTGCAAGCCTCGCCGTGTAGACGGGCCGGGAGGGGACCGCACTGGAGCTGGAAAGAGAAAAACAAGGCGACGAGGACAATACTTCAATGACGGTGAACGGCGTTGTACCAAAGGATAAATATATATTTATCTATGGTCGAGCCTGTGCTCTCCGTCACGTTTCCAATGAAGGTCTCGATGGACTTTTGACTCCTTGGTTTTCTCACCTTTGGAAGACTATCGCGTTTCCGCACACACAATACCGCAAGCCATTATCCACCTTTGGGGCACAATATGCATATTTCATAACAATTGGTAATAAGCGATGCCTGCTTAGTCATTTTCTTGACAAGCCTACGTCCATGAGTTGACCAATTCGTCCGACAGCAACGTTTAACTTGCAGTATTACGTGCGGTAAAACTCATGAAATTGCGAAGTAATATCGTTTATAACAAAGGGAAATCATTTTGAAGGTGAGCTGGCAGAAAAGTGTCGCATCCTTCGAAGTCGCGGACCCGTTTTCAAAGTTTAGCTTTGAATAATCCAAGTAACCGGTGAGAAGTCAGTGATATTTTTATAAAGAGGTGAAGGCCAAGAGTAACCTCCCCTCACGTGCCACCCACTTTGTATGTATGCTGAATGATATGTGGTCCCATAAACTGTCTACATACAGTGCCGTACAAACAACGTCGTACATCCAGTGATCCAGATCGGGGAACATCCGAAGGTCCAGAGAATTCCGGAAATAATTGATACGCAAAGTCGCGAAAGAAAGACTGGAAATTAAAGTCACGGAGAAAAGACTGGCGATTATCTCATACTCTGTATGCTTACGTAGACCACGCGTAACGAAAAAACTGAAGAACAGAAGTTCCTATCTGGAAGCTACTTCCGAGAGCCAAAATAACTTAAATTTAACCAGTATTCTTTTCTGTAGAACCGAAGAGTTGCCCATCGCTACAAAACGTAGTCTTTACCTACATCCTGTAGGTATCGCATACGTAATAAAGTACCGCCGACAACCAGTGTACGCCTTGTGAATATTTAACATCACATAAATAATCAATAGTCATTTGCTATAATATGTACCCCATGAAAGACCTCGACGAGGTCGGACCAAAGTAAGTTCCAGGCAAGAAGTCGAAGTCGACGTAACTTTGCTTCGCGATTTAACGAAGCGCACCTGTGTTTACATGCAACGAGAGCGAGAAACGTCATCTCCTGGTATCTGTTCAAACGGGAAAGTCTTACGCCTACTCTAAGCCATTCTTCGGCCGAAGTGACGGGAAAGAACCTCGAGGAAAAGACTGTCGCTCTTCGGGACTACATTTGTAGGAGCCGAACAATCTTGAACATAAAACTGCAAGGAGCCATCTCTGCGGTAATTCGAGTGACCACCTTACCTAGCTGATAACGTGCCTCGAAGTGGGGAAAAAAAAAACAAAAACAAAACCTATCGATCCGTCGAACATATGATTTCACGGTGACGACTACAGCAGGTAGTGAATGAACCTATCGAAGCTACTAAAATCATCCTCTTGATCAACATCAACAATTGGATGTTCCTGTTGGACCGTTCCTGAAAAGTGCTGACAATTTGTCTAACTTTAAAGAAGACACCGAGTGACGTAATTTCGGTGGCAAGACTGCACGAGGATTAAGGCGACTTCCCGTGCAATGAATGGCAAGGATTAATCGTAATGTTTGCAGTTGGCCGTAGTTTATTTAGGGCCTGAAAATTGATGGACCGGGTCCAATTTATCACTGGAGCTACAAGACTTTCCGTTTCGAAGTGCCGATACGTTCTCGCATGCTTCGACCGGGTGATAGCTAGAAGCGACTGTCCGCACAATCGCTGTAGATTGCCACCGTAGAATATTGAACTTTGCTCGTCATGTGTACGCGGAGTAATTCGCGGAGGTGACGAGAAGGTTCATCTGGGACGTATCCAATTGGCGATCACGTGTGAGATGATCGGAAAAGGGGAAGTGGCTCGTTTAAATTGAGTTACCGTTTTTCTGTGGTCGGGATGCCCTCGGTTCGTAATAAGGGCTTCGAGTGAGAGTGATGTAAGGGAGACATCGACACCAGAAACGACTGGTGATTGTTGAAGTGGCGAAGAGAAGAAAGTGCACCGTGCCGTAAAGGAACCACGACGTCATTGTCAGAGGGAAAGGGTACGGGGAAGTAATTTTCGAAATGGATTCCTGCTTCCCGCCGTTGTCCGCTCTCAGTCTGCGGGACCCTAAAAAGTCCTCAACAATCGCTGGAAGGAATCGACATAGCAGTGGAGAGAACCCTCTTCCACCTGCGGCTCCTCCCACGCCAGGGAAAATCGAGATCCTCCAGGATCTCGACCTCTACTATATTCGGCAGATTGCGCATAATCTTAAGGTACGCATACGTTTCCCTCTCTGCCTAATAAACACTAAGTATATATGAATATAGGTTTTTAAGTAGGGTTTTTAATATAGGTTTTTAAGTAGGATTAAGTACAATTGTTGATCGCTAATCGCATAATTCGCGTATTCCAAGAAAACGTGTTTTGCACGTTCCAAGGTGTCCGCTGTTTCCACGGAAAATTCAACGTTGACGTTGGGTCTATTTTACGTTCATTGACACTAGGTTACGCACGTTTCCTGCATTACCCACTTCTATGGACACCCGACAAATTGACCGAGAACCCGGATTTTCTTAAAAAGATTGATTTATTTTATTTAGACACAGCTTAATTACTCACTTTTAACTTTGTAAATGTAGTTTGGATATAAGGTTCCTATCGTTCCAATATTTAAGGTCAGCAGAAACTAGAAGAAAGGAAATAGTAATAGTTTCTGTAAATTTCGTCGCGAGATCTGAAACCCATCGAATAGATAGGTCTCGTATATAAATTAGGAGTACACATATTCAACGCGCATATAAAAGGTTTTGCCTTTATCGCTATCGATCTACATCGCTGTACAATTGCCCTGACTCTTTCATTTCTGATATAATAGCCTTCGATAAAGTAGGTACATTAATCAAAATATGAGAGTTCGACGCCATTTTGGTTCAGGTTTAAGATAAATCAAAACACTTTTTTTTTTCGAAAATCCAAATTTTGAACGTGTCGTGACGTTAATTAGAAGCTCTGGAAATTATAGAGCACAAGTCGTGCGCTACAATTCCAATCAGTTCGGTGGAGCATTTTTTACGAAAAAGTGTTGTCCTATTACTATCGACTGATTTGAAAGGGTTCTTCGCCTTAATGATCATACCGTTATGCACATTATTTTTTTAATGCCCGTCGGTTTTCATTAAATTTCTCGCTTCGTTGGTAAAACCTGACGAAAGTTCGTGAGCCCCATGCGAGATAGGTGGTTGAGATCATCGTGAGATTTAACCCTATGGTCACTCGTGTGACACGTAATAACGATACCGGAGCCTCGGAATATTAAGTGGCACTACTCGTTCCTCTACTATACACTAGTAGACTACTACAGACATCGATGTATTAACCCGTAACCTGAGCAGATTGCTTTTAAATTAAGTGGAGCCACTCGTGCCGGCGATTAACGGTAAAATCTAATCCGATAAACTCTCTTTATTAATATTTAACGTCACATCTACTGCTCTCGGAATCATTAGCGACGCATCGTCGTGTTAGAACGTATACGTGTGTATCCTGGTGTCATCAGTTTTACATGACGATATCTTTCAAGAGCACTTTTGAGTTCTGCTATCTTTGGTGATTCTCCAAAAGCTTTGGTCGTCGAATTAGGAATTTTCATTTTTTTGTGCGGTCGAAAATGATGTGATGTATAGATGATTGTTACATTATACGCAATGCATGGAGTCTGTTCTTTGGATTAGATGAGTACGTGTGAGCCGTGTATGTCCAATTTTTTTTCTTTAAAAATGATGTTAGAGAAATTAAAATACAATTATACGCTATAACGTCGAGGAATAAGATGTCCGTTAAGAAATATATTTAGCAACAAAGTGGCTCTCGGTAAGTCTCTTGGGATCTTAACGGAACGTCAAATGTACTAAGTGTTAATAATTTTGTCGATTACCATTCGGTTTCGAGGAACTATCACATTGACTCGTTAACGTGAACTTTTCTCAGGGACATTTTGTCTTTCGTTCAAGCTCCGGGAAAATCTCGTTTCAAACATGGTCTACCTGATCGGACCTTAGATCCTGCGAAAGAGACTTCCCGGAAAGAACCTCTCGGTGTTTTAGTTTCCATTTTCTGGAAAGGTAGTGGACCTATTCTTCCCTTTTTCGGTTTTCCAACGGACCGGAAAAGCGACCGGCCGAAAATTTCGGAGAAAACAGGCTGCGTTATTGGGCGGTAAAAGCGTGTCCGTAATGGCCCGCTACCGACATTGTCCAACAGCCCAAAACGCAAACCACCATTCCAAAAGCGTACATTTAATTTATAAAGACCATCAAAAGCAATAAAATTGGGCCATTAAAATTCCAATACCTAGAATTAACCGTAAGAATTTAATATGTATCGATTTTTAATCGGCACCATTGAGATTAGGTCACGATTAAAATTGTACTTCTTGTTAAGAATATTCGAAATTTTAATCATTTGTTATGCTAACTCGATAGATCTTTATTGTAAAATCTGGTGTCTTTATCCCTGCTAGATCCAGGCGTTGCAAATTTTAATGACCGCCAATATATTAGTAACTCTTCGCAGGGGGCCCGATTTAGGAAATGTACATTAATTCGGACATTTTCGAGAAACATCTTTCCTGAAGAGACTCCAATATTTATTGGGTGTCAGACCAAACGAATGCCAATTGTGAACGTAAATGCCTCTCGTGCATGCTTGCAGCTTTTTCGCCGCCAACCATCCCAAATTGGCTGACGGAATCTCAAGCACGTGTCGTCGCAAAGAAAATACTTCGTCTTTTTGTTATTCCTCCTCTTCCACCTCTTTTAACTGTATTTTTAGACCTCTCGGCGATCTCGCTGCGGGAGAACTTTCCTCGCGTGGAGCGAAGAGGCTCGGGAAAACACCAAACTTGAGGACCGATGCAGTTCCGGTTTTAGTTTCCCATCGAGACAGATGTAATCTTTCCGATTTAAGGAAAGATAATCAGAAACGTTTTAACGGCATAATTGCGGGTCCGAACCTAACCACAAAATGGAATGTTTTCTGACAACCATCCGTCGTACCTAAAAAGTACATTCCCAATAGCAACAAGCATTTCTTCCGTTCAGTCTGCTTCGACTGTTATTAATCATTAGCTTATTTGCATAACTTCGCCACACCTGGAAAATCAGTCCAACCCAAATAGAAAAGCGTAGTTTTCACCATGTTCTGACTAGTGGGTAGCTAGTTTAATTACACAATTTAAAACTAAACAGTTCATAGCTAGTGCCTAGATAGTTTAACTTGACAAGTGTAAACTGAACTGTTCCTAACTAATGCCTAGATAGTTTAACTTGACAAATGTAAACTAAACTGTTCCTGGCTAGTGCCTAGATAGTTTAATTTTACAAGTTTAAACTAGACAGGGTCTATCAGGGCTAAACTACAATAGATGGAGTAAAGTAGACACTACCTAGTCAGGATATAATCTTATTGAAACGACTTTTCAAACAAAATCTTACTTTAGTATTTATTACTGCAAATACTTATTTAAATGGTGTTTTTTTTTCACTTTCTTTAATTCAGGCTTCACCTTACTTAAACACTGTCAAAATTAGCATATTTCGTATGCATGAAATATTAACTTTCAGCTCATAAGTATACAAACGTTATACCATGCCATTCATATATATATACCGTATCTTGATATTGTTCTTTTGTAAACAGGGTATCTTTATTTGATACGTACATATAACTTGCAAGTAATCGTTTGAAAGATGTTTAAGATCTGTTAAGTACATTTGTACGAATAATATATCTACATCACTTGTACACGTATTTTTGTTTTCTAGATCGGTAATTCACAATAACAACAGTATCGATTAATCCAAATTTGAATTAAATTTATTACGACAGCCTATTGTATTAAAATCGTTACATCCCTTAAACTACGATAGCTGAATGGTCAATACTATTGCCTATTATCGATGAGTCTCAGGTTAAAATCCTAGCTAATACATGGGGATCTTTTTCGATGCTAAACTCTTTGCATATCCTTACTTTGGCGGATCTTAACCCTTACACAAATAGCATCAGATATATCCGGCGTCCACGAAACGGTTATTAAACCACCCGTCACCAAAAGGGCTAAAAGAACGCGTTTGCTAAAAATCTCAGATTCGTCTGCAGATCATAATAAATTACCCTTATTTTGTTATGCAGTTTTTGTGTAGTTCTTACCTAGTTTCTAGACAGCTTGACTATCTAGGAACTAGACAGTTCGAGCGTTACAAACGTAACTGATAACCGACACCCTTAATTGGCTAGCGCCTAGATAGAATTGGGGAAAACTGGCAAGCAACTAAACACTGGACCAAATATCTGTCTAGGAATTGCTAATAATGCCTATTCTTCATCCGCGTGCACGTCCGAGCAGTGCACTTTGCGCATTGTTACGAGGTGATAGTCTTATCGCTAAAGGATACGCTCTCGTAGAGAAGTCGCTTGAAGTAAACGTAGTACAGTTTTTAACATTCCACGTGTCAAAGGCTACTGGAAGCTTGATAGAAACCCACATCACTCGGCTAGTCGTATATTAAATAAGCGTAAAGGAAATGAAGTAACTATTTTCCCCGGTGGTACATGTGCGTCTGCTTGAAATCTTGACACAGCGGAAGTCGAAAATCAGGCCGGTCGATACTCGAACGCTACGCCTGACTAGACACGCTGACTAGAGACATTTTTGCATCGAACGATTGTCGCGTGCCGCGTGGCTCAGCGTTTCTTGTTGCCGAGGCTCGACTATGCATTTTCGGAAGTCCGTGTCCATCGTACCCCAACTAAGAAATCCCAGATAGTATCTAGGGTTCAACTGGGATTTCCATGTTAGGAGATGTCCCCCATTACCGAGATAAGCTTTGTTCATGGGAGGACTTGGTCCATCATCCGAGACAATTTTTCCAGGGAGGATTTCATTTGGCATACCAAACATTTTTATCTAGACTTTCCTAGCGCCTAGCTAGGGTGCCCTTACATTTTAATTATGCACCCAAGAGGTGTAAATGTCTCAGTGTTCCTGTACTGGACCAACAAATTGATTCAATACAAATTATTAATGGATTCATATAAAGAAAACCGTATTATTTTTATTCTTATATAAGAATAGTCAATTTCTGTTTGGTGACTTCATTCTGTATTTCATTACCTAACAATTTCACGATAATAAAGATTTAACGGTTAGATTTAATGTTAAGTAAGGAATATGGTTTGAATGTTGACCTGCTTAGAAAGTCTGGATCGACAC